ACGAGCTGAAAAAAAGCTAGCGAGATGACCTGCGCTTAGCAGCAGCGAGCCCACCTGCGCTCTCTCCTTCTCGCAAGACGCGACTCGACTCGAATCGCTGACTGGACTGCGCCCTCGAGTACTATCAGGTAGACCGACGCGTACAGTGTACGGAATCCCAGAGGTTAGACTCCATCAGACATGATGTAACATGAGATACAGGAAAGCCCGCCTGGGTGATACTTCGAAGCTAGATCAGCCATCGGCGCTAACCCCCCCCTCTCCCTCACCTCCTCCCCTTTCTCCCCGGCCTCGCTCTCCCTCTTCCGCGCGGTTCGGTCTCACTTCGACGATCGCCACGCGATTCTCCGCTCTTAGCCACGCGTTGCTCGTCCCTCCCTCCCCCCTATCTCTCCCATCCCACAACTCACTAGGATCGAGTCGCTGGAGCGCAGCACGCTCTCATTCACGAGCGAGCACGTTAGCCAGCACGAGCGCCGTCAGTCCGACCCAGTCTACCCTCCGCCGTCCGCCCCTCGCGACATCGCTACAGTCAATCAAAGATGCACGTAGGAAGCGAGTCTACTGCGCCTGTCTACAGGCGACTCGCTCCTGGTCGGTGACCCAGGGCGCGACGACCGTGACGGCGCACGGGTTCGATCACGAAACGGTACGCTGTCACTATGTAGCTTGATATACCAGCAGCTAACCGTCGGCGATCAGCGGAACCGCGGCGGGTGAACGTGCGGAACGCGCGGAAAACCTCTCCGCCGCAATCTCCACCTCGAACTTTGCGGCGGTAGATCGCTGATGAAACCGACGTCGAAGATTCGGCGGTTGCGTTGTCTGCGGGTCGAAGTCGTGCAACGGCGGCCAATTCAGACCGTGACGTTTTCAGCTGAAAACCGTAGCAAGTGCTGTCGGCGTGAGACCAACGTAACTTACCTGCGAGGAAAAGCAGAAAATAATTATACATCTAGTATCTGGCAATGCAGAGTCGTGCTTCAAGCGGAAAACCCGTAGCAAGTTGCTGCGCGTGAAGCCAGACTGTATTACCTGGCCGGGACAAAAAAACAATGGGGTAATGCACAGAGGGTTTTTCGATGCAGAAAACAACCGGGAGTATGCAACATTGACAGGACGATGGTAAGGCCGAGGATACGCCTAAAAATGACCAGGGTCAGCCGCGAAAGCAATAAGTAATAATAAACTTAAGGATGTTAACTAATTGAAGTATTAATAGCTTAGTTGAATTAATCCAAAATTAATGAAAAATGAATGATTTCATATCAGACTTTGCTGCAAACACATAAACTAACAAATTCGGACACTGATAAGCTTTACATATAAGGCAAAACCCCTACCCTAATCAGCACGAAACGGAATTGTTTATATTACAAATCTATTGCCTCCATAATGATTGGTGAGAAATAGTAAAAATTCCATATCCAAATTTAACCGGTGTCGAGTAACCCGTTGGCATGGTTAACTATGATGCAGCTTACCGTTCCTGTATATCTGGCTAACGCACCCAGGCCAGTACTCTCACTGTCAATGTCATGACGGTCGAGCTGCAAATTGCAGGCCAGTCTACGAGATATGCCCTTCTCCGTTGCCTTAGCAACGCTCCGTGCCAATAGAACGCAGCTTTCTGACCAAAAGCAAATTTCCACTTGAGAAAACTGCGCTACCGTAAAAAGCTATTTCTTATTTAAATACTTTTGCTGCCGAAACCCTCCTCTCGTGTAGCCCCCCTACTTAACCCTTTCTAGCAAAATTCCCTTCTAAATCGCGCCACCTTAAAAGCGTTCAATATCCTTATATCTTCCAGTACAACTGTGAAGCCCTTACTGCCAACAGCCTTTAAACACTCCGGCTTGCCATCTTTAACTTAACTTTACTTTATCCTCTTGGTCCCCGCCCGATGGACATGAGCGTCTGTGGCCTGCACCTTTCCTACCTGGAATATTGAACTCCTGACTACGCCGTCGCCAGCATTCGATGGGTGTGGTCCCACCGGCTCGAAATCGTCGCACCATGAACACGTGGAACTTCTCATGCCAGGAACCTGATTTGACTTGGTAGCCATGGCGTTGATCATGCGTAAATCGCGCCTGTTGACATCTAGCGCGTGTAGCACGTGGCATCGCAATCTGCAATGGGAGCTAGGCCATTCAGTCAACGCTCAATTAGCTTCATGTGTATTAATAGTAGCTAGCGATAAACGACCCAAAGAATCACTGCACGTAAAAAAATAGTGCACGTATGTGCAAAACTAGTGATGCGAGTACTATAGGTATATATAAATATAGAAGAAAAAACACACGGACACCAATGACGACAATGTTCATTCTGTTGTCGTTGTACAGCCTGATGAGGAGACATACTCTCAAAAGCTTGTTTTTTTAAACTTGAATTTTTAAACAGAAATATTTCTATATTTCTATATATATATATATATATATATATATATAATATATAAAGGTTTAATCTATAGGCTACAATAGTTAATAAGTATTTAATGAAACTAATAGATAATAATATATCATAGACTTGGTAACGTATTGTAATTACTGCTTAGCGGCACGACAATACCACCTCTGTTGGAACGTAGAGAGTCAGCCTGCTCACCGAGAGTGCGTCATTGTAAAGGCTTTCACACCACCGCTCTGGCCAAGATTGGATTCAACTAAAACGAAAAAGAATACATTGTTGCGGATCTGTCCACATTCTGTGATGTTATCTTATCGTATTGTGCGATTCTGTGATCATATTATCGTAATGTACTATATCATGCAATACCATGATATTATCACATCATATCGTGCAATTCAGTGATATTATCACATCATATCGTGCAATACCATGATATTATCACATCATATCGTGCAATACCATGATATTATCACATCATATCGTGCGCAATTCAGTGATATTACTCACATCAATATGCGTGCAAATTCAGTGATAGATCACATCATATTCGTGCAATTCTGTTATATTATTCGTGTCCTATCATGCAATTCTATTCTAGTGCTATTTATTGTATCATATGCGCTATTTCTGTGACATTATAATATCAGATCGTGTAATTCGTTATATTATCGCACATCTCACCGGGCATCATGCGGAAGCGCGAAGCACGAAACCTGACTCGTGAAGTACGGGAAAGTTTCACGTTGCGTCGCTCAGTAAGTCCCAGACGTCACCGACTTCGGTCCGATGAGGTTCATGGACGACGTATTTGGACGACAGACATTGCTCATACTGGACAGATCCGTCTCTCGCAGTGTCGCGCGTGATCCCACTCCCCACGCGTGCGTGTACTGCGACGTCGCAGACACCATGAAGTAAGCTCGCGACGCAGCGACGAGAAACGCGACGTCAAGCGATTACTAATTAATTAGTATCTAAGATTATAATTACTATAACTTATAATTATATAATATCTAATTATTATACTCTTAAATATACGATAACTGCGTCGCGATGAAGACTCGACGTGTTATGAGCGAATTCCACCCACTCCACTTTTATAAATCTCTCTTATAATAAATCTAAATTAATACGCTCTTAACTATTAAATAAACGAATCATATAGTGTATTCATATAGATAATTACTGAATTAATTCCCTAACTTATATTATTATCAATATATGAGAGATATTTTCTCACAAAAGATTACTAGCATTAATAATTATTATGCTGCAACACTCCCAAACCTAATACTATATCCTAGTCAACCTATCCCTATCTATCGCAGGCGCGACCATCGCGGCGCGGCACTTCTCACCGTTCTCCTCCATGCGCCCACGAGCTGCAGTCGTTCTCGGTAGCCGCCGTGGTGATAAGCAGACCCCTGTGACGATGGTGCCCACCGCGCACGTCCACGTCGTTAGCACACAGGTACTGAAGCAGGTTCACGACCTCTGCTCCCTTAGACTGTCATCGTCGTCATCGTCGTCGTCGGGAAAGACGACAGAAATATATATATATAAAAAATAAATAAATAAAAATATAAAATGTAAGAAAATATAATATAGTTAAATATATAGTTATACACATATAAAGATATATGCGTCACACGAGATCCTGACCGAGTTCTATGATACTTTTTCCCTGCCAGAATTCTGCGTTTTTTTGGGGGGGAGGGAGGGTCGCGTCTTGCGCGACTTTGGGGAGGAGTGGACGTGGGGATGAGAAGTTGCGTTTATGGTGTCGCTAGCAAACATCCTTGACGAGTCGCTTTCAATATGGTTATCAACCTATATATATATATATATATATATATAATAGAGAGAGAGAGAGAGAGAGAGAGAGAGAGAGAGAGAGATTGATGATCGAGGCAGTGTTTTTTGTCCAACTTGAGTATCAAAGGAACCCCTCAAATTCAGGACGAGATAACATACCAATAGAAAAATTATAAAAACGAATGATCGACTTAAATTGACGCATCATGAGATCTAGTAAATAACCATCAAATCACCAAATCACTAATGACAATAATAATAATAGTGAAGATTTCACTCGCAGACTCACCACAGTTTCGACTTGGCAAGAGACGACATGTCGACGACACAGACACCCTCGCGACAAGCTGCATATTCCACCGATACGTCGTCAAACCACGCTGGCTTACCAAACGTCTCCTGTGTTAGCCTAGTCTTCTGTACCGCTGCAGGTACAATTACAGACAAGTGATCATGCTATCGGCCATTTTGTGATGTTGTCGTGACATCAGTACACTTTGTTTAGACATAGATGAACATTTTTTATCGATTAAAAAATACCTCTAATATTATTATTTATTAATATTAATTATTTATTATTAGGAAAAATCTATGTTCTTATACGCAGGTTTTTACTGTACTATTAATACAGATGAGCTATTGAGCTTGACTGATGGCCTAGCTCCCTTGCAGATTGCGATGCACGTGTACCACGCGCTGATGTCAACAGGGCGCGATTACGGCATGATCAACGCTGGCTACCAAGCAATCAGGTTCCTGCGCATTGAGAAGTTCCACGTGTCATGGGGCGAAGATTTCGACCGGTGGACCACACCCATCGAATGTGGCACGGCGTTCAGGGTCAAATTCCAGGTAGGCAAGGGGGCAGGCCACAGCCCTATGTCCCATCGGGGGACCAAGAGGATAAAGTAAGTAATTAAGATGGCAAGCCGAGAGTGTTTAAGGCTGGTTTGGCAGTAAGGGCTTCACGTTGCTGGAAGATATAAAGGTATGATTGAAGGCTTTAAGGTGGGCATTAGGAAGGAATTTTGCTAGAAAGGGTTTAAGTAGGGGTGGCTACAGAGAGGAGGGTTTCGGGCAGCAAAGTATTAAATAAGAAATGGCTTTAAGTAGCGAGTTTTCTCAAGTGGAAATTTGCATTTTTTGGCTTCAGAAAGCTGCGTTCATTGGCAAGGGAGCGTTGCTAAGGCAACGGGAAGAAGGCATATCTCGTAGACTGGTGCAATTTCAGCTCGACCGTCATGACATTGACAGTGACTACTGGCCCTGGGGTGGTGAGCCCATATACAGGAACGGTAAGCTGCATTCATAGTAACCATGCCAACCGTTACTACGACACCTGTAATTGGAATGGAATTTTTACATTTCCCAATATTTGAGCAATATATTGATAATAAACAGATTCGTTTCGTGTGATTAGAGTAGGGATGTTTTGCCATATGTAAGCTTATCAGTGTCAATATGTAGTTTAGGTTTGAGCAAAGTCTATGAAATCATTCATTATTCATTAATTTTGATTATCAATAACTATTAATACTTCAATTATTAACATCCTTAATTATTAATTGCATTTCGCTGACCCTGGTCGTTAGGCGTATCCCGGCCACCATCGTCCTGCAATGTGCCTACCCGTTGTTTTCCCATCGAAAAACCTCTGTGCATTACCCCTTGTTTTCCCGGCAGGTAAGTACGTTGGCCTCACGCGCAGCACTTGCTACGGTTTCACGCTGAAACGCACGATCTGCATTGGCAGATATTAATTATAATAGACGACGATGACAGTCTAAGGGAGCAGAGGTCGTGAACCTGCTTCAGTACCTGTGTGCTAACGACGTGGACGTGCCGGTGGGCACCATTGTTCACACGGGTCTGCTTAATCACCATGGCGGCTACGAGAACGACTGCAGCCTCGTGCGCATGGAGGAGAACCGGTGAGAGGTGCCGCGCAGCGATGGTCGCCCTGCGGATAGATAGGGATAGGTTACCTAGGATATAGATTAGGTTTGGGAGTATCAGCATAATAATTCATGTAATCATTTTGTGAAAACATATACTCTCATATATTATAATAATATAATTAGGGAATTAATTCAAGTAATTATTATATGAATACATACACTCTCATATATTATAAGAGTATAGTTAGAGAATTAAACACATATAGATTACGTTTATTAAAGTAAGAGCGTATTAATTTAGATTATTAAAGAGAGATTATAAAAGTGGAGTGGAGTAATTCGCTCATAACACGTCGAGTCTTCATTGCGCGACGCAGTTATCGTATATTATGAATAACGTGTAGTAATTATCTCGTATATTATAAGAGTATAATAATTAGAGTATTATATAATTATAAGTTATAGTAATTATAACTTAATAACTAATTAATTAATTAGTTATAGTAATTCGCTCTCGTCGCGCGTCGCAGTTACTTCATGGTGTCGCCGACGTCGCAGTACACGCACGCGTGGGAGTGGATCACGCGACACCTGCCCGAAGACGGATCTGTGCAGATGAGCAACGTGTCGTCCAAATACGTCGTCATGAACCTCATCGGACCGAAGTCGGTTGACGTCCTGCGACTTCTGAGCGACGCCAACGTTGACAACTTCCCGTACTTCACGAGTCAGGTTCGTGCTTCGCTCCGCATGATGCCCGGGAGAATGCGATGATAATATAACAGAATTACACGATATGATACTATAATGTCACAGAATAGCGCAATATGATACAATAATAGCACAGAATAGAATTGCATGATATGACACGATAATATCACAGAATTGCACGATATGATGTGATAATAGCACAGAATAGAATTGCATGATATGACACGATAATATCACAGAATTGCACGATATGATGTGATAATAGCACAGAATAGAATTGCATGATATGACACGATAATATCACAGAATTGCACGATATGATGTGATAATAGCACAGAATAGTATTGCATGATATGACACGATAATATCACAGAATTGCACGATAAGATAACATCACAGAATGTGGGACAGGATCGGCAAACAATGTATCTTTTTCATTTAGTTGATCAATCTTGGCCAGAGCGGTGGTGTGAAAGCCTTACACATGACGCACTCTGGTGAACCAGGCTGGACTCTCTACGTTCCAACAGAGGACTCATTGTCGATGCGGCTAAGCAGTATTACAATACGTCTACCATCTATGATATATGTATTATCTATTATTTATTAACTACTTATTAACTATTTAGCCTATAGTTAACCTTATATATATATATATATATACTATATATAGTATATATAGAAACTAATATTTCTTGTTTAAAATTCAAGCTTTAAAATAAAAACAATGTTTGAGAGTATGTCTCCTCATCAGGCTGATAGCAATGACAAACAGAATGGAACATTGTCGTATTGGTGTGTCCGCAACTGTGTTTTTGCTTCTATATTTATATAATACCTATAGTTTCTCGCATATCAGCAGTTTTGCTAGGCATACGTGCCTATTAGTGCGTGATTCTTTGGCGCGATTTATCAGCTAGCTACTACTGAATACAGCATGAGCTAATTGAGCTTGACTGAATGGCCTAGTCCCTGCAGATTGCGATGCCACGGTACACGCGCTAGATGTCAACAGGGCGCGATTAACGCATGATCACGCTGGCTCCAAGCAATCAGGTTCTGCGCAGTTGAGAAGTTCCACGTTGCATGGTGCGCGATCTTCGACCGGTTGAGACCACAGCCCGATCGATGTGGCCACGGCGTTCAGGAGTCAAATTCCAGGTGAAGCGTGGCAGGCCACAGCCTATGTCCATTCGGGGGGACAAGAGGATAAAGTAAAGTAATTAGATGGCAAGCCGAGAGTGTTGGTGAGAGCTGTTTGGCAGTATAGGCCTTCAACGATTGGCTGGAAGATATATTAAAGGTATGATTGAAGCTTAGGTGGGCCATTAGAAGGAATTTTGCTAGAAAGGGTTAAGTAGGGGGTTACACGAGAGGCACGGGTTTCGGGCAGAGAAAGTATTAAATAAGAAATAGCTTTTATACGGTAGCGCAGTTTTTCAAGGGAATTTCATTTTTTTGCTTCCAGAAAGCTGCGTTCATTGGCAAGGGAGCGTTGCTAAGGCAACGGGGTAGAAGGCATATCTCGTTGAGACTCGGCCTGCAATTTGCAGCTCGACCGTCATGACAGTTGACACTGACTCTGGCCTGGGGGGTGAGCCATGTATACAGCGAACGTTAAGCTGCATTCATAGTAACCCATGCGCAACCGTTACTCGACACCGTAATTTGGAATGGAATTTTTACATTTCCAATCATTATGAGCACTAATTGATAATAAAACAGCATTCCAGTTTCGTGCTGATTAGAGTAGGGGATGTTTGCCCATATGTAAGGCCTCTATCAGTGTCCGAATATGTTAGCTTTAGGTTGCAGCAAAGTCTGATATGAAATATTCATTATTTCATTAATTTTGGATTAATTCAATAACTATTAATACTTCAAATTATGTTACATCCTTAATTATTTAATTGCATTTCGCTCGACCCTGGGTCGTGTTAGGCCGTATCCCGCCACCATCGTCCTGCAAATGGCCCCTACCCCGTTGTTTTCCATCGAAAAACCTCTGTGCATTACCCCATTGTTTCCCGGGCCAGGTAATACGTTCTGGCGCACGCGCAGCACTTGCTACGGTTTCACGCTGAAACGCACGATCTGCATTGGCAGATATTAATTATAATTATTTTCGCTTTCCCGGCAGGTAAGTACGTTGGCCTCACGCGCAGCACTTGCTACGGTTTCACGCTGAAACGCACGGTCTGCATTGGCGCCGTGCACGACTTCGACCCGGACACACGCAACCGCCGAATCTTCGACGTCGGTTTCATCACGGATCCCGCCGCAAAGTTCGAGGTGGAGATTGCGGGGAAGAGGTTCCGCGCGTTCCCGCACGTTCACCCGCCGCGCGTTCCCGCGATCGCGACGGAGCTGGGAACCAAGTACAAGTACAAGCCGACCGTCGTGACGACGTCGCGTACGTCGTCGCTGTAGACGCGAGCGAGTCGCTGTAGACAGGAGTGAGTCAGTGCATTGATTGATGAGGATGTCCAGGGGAGGAGGGAGGGAGGGAGAGGGTTGCTCTAACGTCATCGCTGTGAATGAGAGCGAGTTGGTCAGCGATCGACCTAGTGAGTTTGGAGGGAGAGAAGGGGGAGGGAGGGAGAGAAGGGGAAGGAGGGAGGGAAGGGGGAGGGAGGGAGAGAAGGGGGAAGAGAGAGAGGGAGGGGGAGAAGGGGGAGGAGGGAGGGAGAGGGGGGGAGTCTAGCGAGGTGATTAGCTTGACGTAACCAGGGGTTCATAATTAATGATACATTTGTCATTATTAACCCTTGACGTAACGTAGGTTGTCACTGTAGACTCGAGCGAGTCAGTCAGCGATCGAGTAGAGAGTCCGGGGGAAGGAGAGAGGGAGGTGGTGTGTAACGAGATGCTTAGCTTGTAAATAGGGAGATGTCGACGTTAGTGGAGTGCACGGCAAGGTTTCCGTGAGTGTGGCGTGAACCGCAGGGATGTGGAAGATGGAGACTCGCACGTACGAACAGAGCAGAGAGTTTCGCGAACGTACAAAGGAAGGACGAATCGCGAATGTGTCCGTTTGGTCCGTTGTAGTAGTAGTAGTAGAGAGATTCCCGTAGGTGTGGGAAACTCGGTGTATAACTAATCAAACCAGTCCTGTAGTGTGTATTTTTTTCGAAACGGATACGTTGACCCTGGTGACGCTGTGATTTTGGCATAAAAATATCTGGAAAATACAAAGGTATTAGTGATAGTTGATTCTCAGGCATTGTCGATTATTTTGCGCACACAGAGGCAAAATGTAAAGTTGTGTCGGGATATTAATGACCTACAAATGATTTACTTGCTCAAACGTCCGTCTACTTCCCAGTTCATATTATGTAGACTGTGGTGTTCTTACACATATTGAGTTAGCTTAGTTCAATCATACTAGTTGAAATAGTTATTATTTATTTGTAGGATACGGCTAAACCTTTATTAATATTGACAGGAACCATCCCAAGTAAGAATCGAAAATTTTGAGAGAGAATCGAAAATGGCGTTTTGCTCAAAATGCTGTAAGTCTGTTCAAATTCTTGTAGCTCAGTTTCAGGCAGTATTCGGACAAATACTCTTGTCATGGCCGAGACACACCATTTGCATAAGCATGGGCCCCTGCTCACACTGCAGGGTTTATCTATAGCATACTGGGCAGTCGTGAAAGCATCAGTTCACAAGCTTCAGTTGAATGTTTGTTGAATTACGCTGCTTTCTGAATGGGTGAAAGCAACATTGTGTCTTAAACGATGAGGTATGACGATCGCAGTTCAGAATATATGATGTTCCCTTGTTGGATTTACTTCTTTACTGGAGATTTTCAGGTTTACATTACGCTTTCTTGGCATTATCCATTTATCGTTGATTAAAACTCCAGTGATAGATCGTAGATTAGAAGCAATGTTGACCGTAAGCTCTTTATGTGTGATTTATTTTATTGTTATTACTTATGGTGATGCCAGCTTCTTAATAGCAGTATTCCTTTGTTATGTTAATGTGTGTATTACAAACTGTGCAATCGATGCAGTGCGGATGCTGGTAAAAATGCAACAGGCATGTGAGTTAGTTGCAGGTACACAAACCTTGCTACCGATTGACAGTCAGTAGTAATATTATAACTTTGCTTTATACCGGTGTGTGCTACATAATTATTGTTCACACAGCATTACCTGCTGTATGAGTATGACACAGATAAAGCCTATTATCTGTAGCAAAACCGAGTGAATGCTTACAGACAGCTAGTCTGACCAATTTGCATAGTTGGTTTGGTTGGTAATCGACAAAAGAACATCAACAGAGAAACATTATCGACACGTTTATCCATTTTAATGACTTATCTTCCTGGTTGTTGTTTATCGACTTATGTCCTCTTGTATTCGTTACAGTAAGGTACATTGGCAGCATGGAACTAGTGGCATAATGAATCTCTCCCCACCCCGCATATATGCTCCACTAGTAGTGCCAAGGGTGGGGCCACCTGGTGGTGTGTCAATCAAACAGATAGCCAATGCCACTTCTCAGGTTAGGAATAAACCCACGCCGAACACATGCACGCACACACACGACCGCGTTCGGCGTGCGTGCATGCATGCAGTAACAGACAGTGCGTGGACAGACAGATCGCGTGCTCGTGCAGGGATATGGTATAACAATATGTTTATCACACATATCTCTACCTTCATTGCATCATTTGAGTAGCCAAGTAATGTCCCCAGTGCCATCGTTGTGCGCCGAGATACATTCCTGTCATAGTGGCAAACTTATTTTCTAGAGCCACAGTGTTTTTGCTAATATGATAGATATATTATGGACCACGGGAGTGTGTTGGTAGAAGGATCGATGTTGCAGAGATCGCATCACTGCATGAACGTGTCCCATTTGCAGTGATACTGGGTGCTTTAAATCGCATGCACTTGTGGTTGCACAAATTCGTGCGAGGGGTCATATATGGCACGTATAGCTTGCATGCATTGATATTGCACGCGTAGACTAATGCATATACTGATGTTACGCCATGCTACGTCTTCAATCCACGTATAGTAATCACATTAAAGAGTATTCACTATTAAGATGCAAGTGTAGCATTAAATTTATTGATTTTGCTATTCCCTATGCTACCGGTGTTTATGGTTAAATTAGTGTTTTGATTTAGTAGGCATGTGTTACGTGTACAAGATACTCCAGGCAAACTGAGCCAACGCGCAAGTGAACGAGAAAGAACGTTTCGTCCTAGTATATATCTCTTTCCCCATCACAGACAATTGTCTTCAAACTATCTGCTTCCATAATTAGTGGACACGATACCATTAGGCCAGCACAGTGCATGAAACATCCGTGGTGTGTTTCCCAAGCGATATACCTATATAGCAAGGAGAGTGAGACAGGGGAAGAGTTAGAGAGGAGGGATAAAGCTGAGCTGTAGCAGTGTGTCACAATACAATACACAGCAGAATGTTTGACGGCCCTAATCACTATTGTGCGCCATGCTTCCATGTGACTATGTTCCTATGAACATGTATGTATTTAATATGCATAGGTTAACGACATCACTCATGTGCAGGCCCAGATGTGACACTCACTGCCTGTACGTGACACCAGTAAAGGTAATCTTTCATCGGGGGGGGGGGCCAAATTTCCTATAATCTTGTGGTTTGGTGAGATACGACCTAGAATGGTAATTGGCAACACAGCAACATAGGTTATCGCTGGTTATTCTCGGGTACATCTTGCTGTGAGGAAATACTAAGTTCTGAGATAACATGTTATTTCAAAGTGGGTTATTATTGGAGTTTTTTTGCTGCTGCGTATCTCTGAAGTTGGTTGTTATGAAAGTTTGTCCACACATTTGTAAATCAGTAATATACTCTGTTAGAAGAGAAATTCCGTTTGGCAGTGTGTAAACACATATCTGAGAATTCTCTTCGATTAAATGTTTGTGTTTACGATTACCACGCAATATATGCCAGTGTTGACCAGACTGTTGACGACAATAGCATGTACAATTAAAAAAATAACGTGTTTTTTTTTTAAAAGGTGTAATTTGTTTTTATGTGGCATGTCACACAATTTTCACAGATAATATTAATCAAACAAGAAACGTATTAATCCCAAGAGGGAATCTATCAATCTGCAAATTCACTCACATTTATATTTGCACCACTGAACACATTGCTAGCACCCAAATAATTGAAATTCAATCATCGATTTGCATCTTGTTCAAATCTTTAGTTTGATGAGTAGTGTAATTATGCAGAGACATAATAGCAGATAAGAGTGAGAGTGAAACTAACTGTAAACTCCTTTTATTACCAATGCCGGAGACATGTTCTATTGTTTCCCTATAACCGATCCTCTAAACTTCGCCAGAGTCAACGCTACGCATGAGCGCTATATATTGTTACACATCTCTACTAGCTAACTTTACAATTGTCATACCGATTTCCTGAGCTGTCAACACATCATATCATATTGAAGTGATTACGTCACCGTAAATAGTAAAAATAAAAATAAAATTCCACTTTTTCACAAAATGTAAGTAATTCTGTTTACTTTTATGGTTAAATTGCTGCATTATACTTTCTATTTTGCTATTTCGTTCAATGTGAACAAACACTCGTAACTCATACATAGCCCATAGCAAGCAATTAATGTCAGGATAATAATATCAAATCGTCCAGGTTTTTTGGATTTTTAACTAGTTGAGGAACAATCTTTATCAGGTAAGAATTTTACTGAGTACTTACTTTTAATGTAAAAAATGGCAACACAATTTTTACAAGTAGTCAATTTAACTGTACGTGAAGCCAGTTGCTACTGCATGGTTCCACCACATTCGTCAGTTCACTCGGTGTTAACTGAAATACATCTAAATAAGATAAATATTTCCCTGGTGTTATATTAATTAAATTCCATCCTACAACATGCATATATGTCCAACATAAAACCGTTATTATATGCGTCTAAAGATCTATATCTGTTCGACATGCTATAGTAAGAATCTGGCAGTCTGGTAGCCATGTTGTATTAATATGAACTGTATTGCTTTACACAGCGTCAAATTCATATCATGGCTAAACAATCGACTGAATAGCATAATATGAACAGCACTCACTGATAGACGACAGGTTGCCACGCACTATCAGCTATAAGACATTTACATCTACAACAAGGAATCAATTTCTGGACCACGGCTGCGTGGCAGTATACTGACTAGTGGCTGTTGTCATCGAGACAAGTTTCGGTGAATATATGAGCGCTTTCGCCGGAAAGCGTTTACCGGCGATCTCCACTTCAAACTCGGCATTCTTTAGTATGAAGTCGTTCTCAATCGGCCTCAGCTGTCCAGTTTCCTCATCCGTGTCGTGTACGTACCCTACAACAATGCAGCACGCTCGTAAGCTGTCAGCAGAGCGGCTATAAACGTGTGTTCATAACACATAACTCTATGATGCTGGATACTGGCTACTATATGTAAGCTGTTAGCTCATGCACAGTGGCATCAGGCTAATTCTTCGTTCATGTTTGTCATCTAACAATAGATGATGACGGCATACCAACAGATGGCAGCACTATCAAACTGATGAACATATACTGATATGCACGCAGCTAAACGTGTCACCCACGAATAATTTGTTAACGAATTGTCAACAAGCTAAGGGCAAACTTAATTTTACTATATCCAGTAATAAATCATCAATCACTCACTAATGCCTATTCATAAACAGATGGGGATAACATTTGACCATCTTGAGCAGGACATCACTGAAGCCACCACCAAGGCTGGGCCCTATTAGATATAGATACCCTATATATTAGCCCTATAGACACACTCACCGATGAGGCACTGTTTGTTGAGCGTATAGCCATAGGCAGCAGATGTTGCTGTGCCACACAGTTTGCCATTCCTGCAAGAAAGAGACACAAAGAGACACCCTTATGTATAGGTGTGACTATATGTTCCATTTGTGAACACCACACATTTCCTTGCTGAGATATTGCAAAAATTACTGCCAAGATGCTAACACATCCGCCATCATCATGCACACTGTGCAAAATCCAAATTTATTTTAACAAAATAGGTATCTGCACTGAGGATGGGCGAGTATTATCATTGCCATGACAACTACCTATAGAAAGCTTCGCCGCCCCATGGCCAGATATCATTCTCCAGGTCGTGCTTGTTGATCTGTAGCTGCACGAGACGTTTGCAAACGCCCTCCTTTTTCTGATGCAACAGAGCTTCCTTTCCAATGAAATCTTTCTGCAATTTCGTAAAAATAACAGCTGATGCAAATTGTGACCAAAGGTACAAGACTCCACATACACCAGGTAATAACAGAGCGTTTGTCTGAAACACAAATCTATAGGCCCTTTAACCTTGACCTTTGCAGGATATATCTGCAAACAGAGAACAGAATGCCTACCTGTACACGCTTGCTGGCTCGCTGCGCTGGCTGGCTCGCTGGCTCGCTGGCTGACGTGCTAATATCGATCGCGCGAACACACTAACACACTAACACTCGAACACACGAACACACTGTTGGGCGGAGGTAACAATAGCCACACACGATGTCTGACGCATTAACACGCTTGGAAGAATAGAAGTCATTTCTTCTAACTTCCGGCGCGACTCACGTCGAATTTCACGCGGAAGGCCCTTCCAGCTTCGAGAGGTGTGGTGGCTGGTGTGAGGTCCTGACCCCAATGAGCAAACAACTTCTCCACCCTGAGTGAGCGCAGAGCGAGGTAGCCAGCGTGCTTGATGCCATAGTGCTTACCAACATCCAGCAGTCGGTTGTAGATGTGTAGCGCGTACTACGATGCGTCCCAGAATGGAAAAAGAAAAGTACGCGATTAATATTTATTTTCACCGCTATATGTAAAAAAATTTGCCAAACGAAAACATTGCGTTTTTTCCCATATATCCTGTTCATACTCAGTACTGGGTTATATTCAGTAGTGGGATTCAATACGTGCAAGGCTATCTAATATTAGGTGACATAAAGGGGTTTTGCACATGCTTATCATATCTACTTTGTATACAAGCAACAGTGCTTCCTAATAATCGTGTAAACATCGTTGTCTATTTTCATCTAGCACGAGGAAGACCTAGCACTAGAATTTCCAGGTTGACCTTCTTAAAATGCTTGGGTTGCACATTCTCGAGTGAAGTGCTACAACTGCGATACATTCGCGCGTAGAAATAAAGGTCAATCGCTTGCTAATTACTTTTGACCCTTGCTAATTACTTCCCAGTGTATTATATTGTATTATAAATTCAAAAGTCATTTTACATACTGATGCAAATCATGAGCGAACACAGAGTAACACTAACAGTACCTCGTTAGGAATATAGAGAACCCATCCTAGTTCTCCAGCATGGGATATGCTCAGCGCAATCACGCCTGTTGCATAGCCTATATCTATCACCTAAAGAACAAGGAAAAGTAAGATTAAGGAGATCTCAGTGACACATTTGAAAATTCTTATAATACACAATAATAATAAAAGTGCATAATCAAATGGGGATCCTATCAAGTGCTCTTGAAATATCGAAGCAATTCACCAAGCAAGGCTACCGAGATATACTTTTGGTTCATGAAATCAGGCGACACTTTCTTCGCCCCACTCTAGTATGAACAGTATAAACTACAATTGTTTCTGCAAAAACCACATGGGTTCTTGCATGGCGATCAACTTCTTGCAATTATATACGTAACCGAATAGAGCTGGGCGAGTAGTTTAGTAATAGATTAGTAATGCCAGCGAATCTCAGGGCCATAGCCAGAGGTAAATTTTGTAGGAGGCAAATGTTGTGAGTTATAGAACAAGGAGCGAAGCGAGCCAATAAAGTGTGGGGTATGGGGCCCGCTTAGGGGAAATTTTGTAGGAGGCATTTGCCTCCTATTGCCTAATGGTAGCTACGGCCCTGCCAGCGATGAATAATGACTATGCGAATAATGACTATGAATAGAGCTATGCGAAAATTATCGCATAGAGGGGGAGCCACTGGTTTAGTAAAGCAGACGGCACGCACCCTGCAGCGGAAGTAAGGGAAGTCGGCCGGCAGCATGGACGACTCCGTGAGACGGGACATGACGTCGCGCGATTTGTCGCCGAGGATGTTCAGCGATGTGTACATCGACGACACGTCGTTGGCGTTCACCGAACCGTCCTCCGGCAGGTGGCGCCGGAGCCACTTCATGCAGCGCGTCTGCTGGATGGACGGCGAGATGACGAAGTATCTGTGGACGATGAAAAAGATGTGAGGAAATATCTGTGGCGAACGAAAAATATACGACGAAATACCTGTGTGGAGTACAACGGAAAAGATATGAAGAAATATCTGTGGAGAACGACGAAAAAGAGATGACGAAATATCTGTGGAAGATGAAAAAGAGATGACCAAATATCTGTAGACAATGAAAAGTATATGATGAAATTATCGTGGAGTAGAACGTAAAAAAGATGATGAAATATCTGTGGAGGAAAATGAAAAAAAAGATGACGAAATATCTGTGGACAATGAAAAAAAAGATGACGAAATATCTGTGGAGGACAACGAAGAGTCAGTGGAGGGGAAGGTAATAAAAGGAATACCAGGAATAGGGGGAGGAGGCAGAGGAGGGGAAGGAGGAGGAGGAGTAGGAGGAGGGGAAGAAGCATAACAGGATAGCAATGATAAATAGAAGAAATTAGAATGATTTGGTGAAAAGCACGAAGGCTTACTCGTTTTCAGCCATGCGTACTATACTGCAGTCGTTCTCATAGCCACCGTGATAGTTCTGCATGCCTGTGTGGATAACATGACCCACTGGGATATCGACGTCATTTGAACAGAGTCTTTGTAGGAAGTCCACCACCTCTCTGCCTGCAGACTGTTTAGAAACAGATATAAAGAAACAGCTAGCACACATCACAGGTGTGAACATGTATGTACTGTGTATGTGTTACCAGCACATTTTGATTTAGTATATATACATGATATACCAGGTCCAGCAACTCCCTTCCAGCTATGCCCTATCTCTCTCGAGAATAATTGTTTTCTAATGTAAATTCTTCCATTCCGTTCAAAATTCCATTTTCCATTCTCCAGCCAAGTTAATGCTACTGGCACTCTCTCCTGACATATATACTAGTGACTGAAACTCTCTATTCTCAGCTAGTAAATATAGTAAGTTCATACCTTCAGCTCAAACTTTGTGAAGGATGACATGTCTATGAGAGCGACCCCCTGCCTGCATGCCATGTACTCCTCACGAACAGCATCAAACCACACAGGCTTCCTGAACGTCAGGTCGGTCTGGTATAGGAAGGAGCGGTCCGATTCTAGTACGTTATCTGCAAACAACACGATTCAACAGATGGCACGATTACTTCAATACATATGAGTGAGCTTGCGTGCATGCGAGTGATTGCATGTGTGTGCATGTGTGTGTGCGTGTGCATGTGCGTACGTGTGCATGCGTGCATGCGTGCGTGTGCATGTGTGTATGCGTGCGTGTATAGAAAATACAGGTTATCAACAATCCAAATTCATTATGTCGGTAAGAATATTTTACCACCAAAAAAGTGCCGTTGCACTTGGATTTCACCATTTTCCTCAGGTGTGTGCGTGAAACGTGTAAAAACGTTACTACTCTTGAGAATAAATTTTACCTATATGTATAAATATATATATATATATATATATATAGCATTAACATATTAATAAATAATAAGTAATACTATTAACAGCTACATTTTTCAAATGCACCTATACCTGTATACCTAGTGGTTCAATCTAGCCGAATGCATACAACACTATTCACGATTCTGCACACACATTTTCACTGTGTCATACCTGAGTCACAGTCAAACCACATTGGTCGCTCATAGCCGCAGGACTGCCCATAGATGGCGCCACACGCCTGTAGACACGAGTAGAGCGACGAGGTCCTCAGATTTCGGCTGGTGATGTGGTCCGATAGTGGATAATTCAATAAGTAGTGTTTACCTGAAGAGCATTCACATACAAAGCAAGTATTACGCTATACTACAACCACATATCTGTCTAGGTTAACTTAAGTCCATAAGAATGCGTGGATAAGTACTATAGTTGATAGATAACAAACGATCTACACACAAAACGGAAACAGCTACTTTGTGTGTGTTTGGGGGGGGGGTGAATTTCGTAGACTTACCAGCAATTTAATTATGTTAAAAAGGCGAATTGGGTCAATCTCTCTCGTCACTTTCTCAATAACATCGTTTTCTAATTGGCCCAATGTGAAATAATGTATCTGAGGCACTGAATGCAATGTCTGTAAATGTATCAAATATGTATATTTAAACGTAGTCCGTGCGTCCACATGTGCAATGCTCTTAGCAGCATGTTCCTCAGATACAATCGTGGCACATTAACCAATCTCATCATATTTACAATAGATTTCTCCTCAACATTGTATGGACACGTACCTATACTTTATTACTTGTACACGCGCCCACATAACGTTTGTACCCCCCCCCCCCCCAACACAGGTGTAAAGACGCCACAGGTGTCAGTGCCGACCTACCGACGATTTCCGTCACCCTGTCCTTGAGAAACTTGCGGTTGTTGTGAAGGTCGAGGAAGCGTTTCACGTCGTGCTGCCACAGGTCCACGCTCGACTCCCCGTCCACTATCAGCTCGGCTGTCGCCCGGCCGATGCCGCCCGCCATCGTGATGCCTTGAGAGTTCATTCCGGTCGCCACGATGTAGTTGTCAATCTACCCACACAGGAATAATACACCGTAGGTATATTAGGGGATATAACAAATATACTGCATACACCAGTGATATAACTATATACTATATATTTTTATATACTATAAGTATTACTATTAACAGCTACATTTTTCAAATGCACCTATACCTGTATACCTAGTGGTTCAATCTAGCCGAATGCATATAACTCTATTCACGATTCTGCACACAGATTTTCACTGTGTCATACCTGAGTCACAGTCAAACCACATTGGTCGCTCATAGCCGCAGGACTGCCCATAGATGGCGCCACACGCCTGTAGACACGAGTAGAGCGACGAGGTCCTCAGATTTCGGCTGGTGATGTGGTCCGATAGTGGATAATTCAATAAGTAGTGTTTACCTGAAGAGCATTCACATACAAAGCAAGTGTTACGCTATACTACAACCACATATCTGTCTAGGTTGACTCAAGTCCGTAAGAATGCGTGGATAAGTACTATAGTTGATAGATAACAAACGATCTACACACAAAACGGAAACAGCTACTTTGTGTGTGTTTGGGGGGGGGGTGAATTTCGTAGACTTACCAGCAATTTAATTATGTTAAAAAGGCGAATTGGGTCAATCTCTCTCGTCACTTTCTCAATAACATCGTTTTCTAATTGGCCCAATGTGAAATAATGTATCTGAGGCACTGAATGCAATGTCTGTAAATGTATCAAATATGTATATTTAAACGTAGTCCGTGCGTCCACACGTGCAATGCTCTTAGCAGCATGTTCCTCAGATACAATCGTGGCACATTAACCAATCTCATCATATTTACAATAGATTTCTCCTCAACATTGTATGAACACGTACCTATACTTTAATACTTGTACACGCGCACACGTAACGTTTGTACCTCTCCCCCCCCCCAACACAGGTGTAAAGACGCCACAGGTGTCAGTGCCGACCTACCGACGATTTCCGTCACCCTGTCCTTGAGAAACTTGCGGTTGTTGTGAAGGTCGAGGAAGCGTTTCACGTCGTGCTGCCACAGGTCCACGCTCGACTCCCCATCCACTATCAGCTCGGCTGTCGCCCGGCCGATGCCGCCTGCCATCATGATGCCTTGAGAGTTCATTCCGGTTGCCACGATGTAGTTGTCAATCTACCCACACAGGAATAATACACCGTAGGTATATTAAGGGATATAACAAATATACTGCGTACACCAGTGATATAACTATATACTATATATTTTTATATACTATATGTCAATCTACCCACGCAGGAGGAATACACAATTCAGTCTATAACTGTATACTGCATACAACAGGGATATAACTATACAGGTATGTCCCATTTTACAAGAGGGTTAGGGTCCAGTAAAACAGGGTCGTAAAATGAAAAGTCGTAAACAAGACCAAATTATAATGCAATTAAATGCTATCATTGGATATAGTTTGGATATAGGATGGCTATATATAGTTTGGTTATAGTTTGGATATAGTTTGGATATAGTTTGGATATAGTTTGGATACAGTTTCGTTATAGTTTGGATATTACTACTATAGATTACCTCCGGCGCTTCCCCAAAGACCATCTTTCCGTCGGGCGTGAAGCTCTCCGGACCGTTGGTCATGTGACGCAGCTGCGCATCCTTAAACGTCGGGATGCGGTGCATCACGGCCTGCAGCTGCTCCTCTGTGCGAAGCAAACAGAAGTACAGTGGAACCCCAATTTTACGCGCCCCGATTTAACGCGAATTCGGATATAAAGCGACGAGTCGTTGGACCCCCTTTTTTTTGCTCTTATATAGCCACATATATATATATAACCCCGCTTTAGCGCGACCCCGCTTTTTTCGCGATGACATTTTATGGACCCCAACCATCGCGTTATAACGGGCTACACTGTATATCATTTTTTGTTAATTTACACAAATCGGTTACACAACTGCCTAATGAGCAACCCATAGGCAAGCCAACATTTCGTACTTGCAGCAGGCTGGTCCAGGATTTCTGCTATGCATATCTATTTTTTGTTGTTCACTTTTAGCTTGTATATATTTATCAGGCAGTTACCTATGGCACTATCGCTCGATCACACGGCTGTTTGCCAGGCAACCCACATGCAAGCAAACATTTTGCACTTGCAGCAAACCAACCCAGGAAAATCCAAATCTATTACGCGTTGGTTGTAAGAAATATTATTTTACACACATTAATTACACCACTGAATTACAGCAGCCACACCATTAGAGAGCTTGCACTTGTGTTATCCGTGATGCCTCCGAACACTGTGAAGCCCATACGTACGGAAGTGATCCCAGTCCTCCGGCAGCAGTTGAAATTCGAAATCCTTCGGCACCATGTCGTGAAAGACGGGCTTGGCCACCGTCTCGAAGCCACCGGCCAGCAGGCCGCCCGACCACTCTCTCATGTAAATCTGACCATCATGGTCGCGAATCACTGTGAGCAGGGAGGAGGACACAAAGGCGGTTAGAGGCTCCGTTAAAGGTTAGAGGGGCTGGCTTTGTTTTGAGCAATGTGTCTACACTCGCTTTCCAATTTCGTTTCCCCTCGCACGCTCCAACACTCAGAATATCGGGCAAGTTCATCAAACTTTAGAAATCGGTAAAATTGCAACATACCCGTACGACGTATTTACATCAGTGGAGCAGTCACCTATTGATAGGCCCTATCTTATCAATTTCTCCTATCTCATGCTTTATCATGAAGGCAAAATTTGTACAAGAGAATAGCACAATATAGAATATAGACATTTACCATTTATATTAGAAGTATAAATACAAAATGTCTTGATGTTCTTACTACGTAGCATACTTACCCGGAAGCATATTATCGATTCCAAAAGGCTTCGTGACTACATAGAAGTGTTCTGTTGGATGAACGGGCACACGTATCTTCTTAGTCTGAGTCATGTACCTAGCAAGCTGATGTGACCACTGCAGCACAAACAAATGATGCTGTATACACGTTGGCCGTACTCTTCATACAAACACCTGCCCATCTGTGCTCTTACTACACAACGTTATCTGCTTAGGTAATCTCCAACGTTGAGTCTAACAAATACTGACTGAAAATTGTAAAACAAGACACAAAACAAAGCAGGTTTGACGACGTACCATGCCCGCGCAGTTCACGAAGTATTCGCACTCTATTGTGCCGTGATTCGTCTGCACCTTGTCAACCCTCAGGTTCTTTGTGAGGACATTCTCCACCCGGCAACCTTCTATGATCTCCCCGCCTGCAAGCATTCAGAGTCCAGCGATTCATATCGTCTGCTAGATTAAGTACTTGTAGTTTCATTACACATTGTAAAATAGTTGTAATACTCTTCACTGAGCTGATTGTTCATACGTTTATGCTATTCTACCAACAGTTATATGCCTTAAAATACATGTTATTGTACATTTACTATGAAGTTAGAGCAATCGGTTTTCTCTCGGTGAGGTGGAAGACTTGCCATTTTTCCGGGCCAACCTCGCAAATGTTGCGACAAGGTCCGACGGACTCACAACGCCATCCGAAGGTGTCCACAATGCACCCTGATGAAATAAACAAGTTTAATGCACACGTGTGTGCTAAATGCAGAACAGAAATGTCTTGATTAAACATACAAGAAGATCACTGTCTCTGCTACTATCTCTTGAGTACCTTGTCTTCTATTATTAGGTCATCTTTAAAATAATTCTTTATTTGTACCTTGGCGAGCAACTTAATAAGATGTACTTATAACACAGCTGAAACATATATATGTATATATATATTTATAAGTATGTATAAGTAGTATACAATATATATAAGAAAGTGTGGAATGTACCATACAACCTTAGCAGACAATACGTATCCGCATAGGATAGCATAGGATTAGGGTGACATGAAAAAGAAATTAAGTTCAACACCGCGTGATACCGGTAGATTGTAACAAACCTCTATGTCATCATCGCGAATGATAGGAGCAAGTTTCTTGGCTTCACTAGGTGTGATGAGTTCCGCTCCTATCCTCAGCAACCTATAACATGTAGTAGCATCTACTTATCAGTCCCTGTCACTAACATAAAGCACGAGTGTCTCTCGTTCTAACTAGCAATATATACTAAGCAGCAAACCAGACAACAGCATTATACTCCAGCTATAGCAAGTAATATATACGATGCATATAGAAATGCAGGTATGACATCTTTAGCTAGTCAAATGCAACTGATTGATAGTTAATAGCATGTATAAAATATTTAGCCTGTAGTGTATGTATGTAAGTGACTTAAGCTAGTGACACGTACCCCGTACACAGCTAGAAACATTTTATAATATCCTTTAATCATATTTATATAAATAATCAAATCATATAATAATATACATTCTTATACTACATATGTTCATACTGTAAGAATACTTAATTGTGTAGTTCCAGAATGAGATCAAACAAATCACTAACTTTCCACGTGTGACGATCCCGTGATAGGTGATAAGTCTGTCTTTGGTTCTCGCCACACTTAAGCTGCCACATTGTTTCCAACCTATACATATACATACATTCCAATCAGGTGAAAAATTTCTTTTTTTTCACGTGAGCTCATTAAAAGTCTGTGGGAAAAATAGCTCTCGTCAACATTTTTACGGGAGCTATTTTGAGCCTCACGGGAGCGATTTCGGAAGTTTGAAGAGCGAATCGCTCATCGCTCCCGTGTATTTTTTATCCCGATTCCAATATATTACACTGTATTATTGGGCACTCCAACATATATGCTAATGTTTTCCACTACATTGACATGACTACGTAGAGGTTAACCCATCTATATGATTGATCACACACCACGAAATTTGTAAATTAAGATATATCATCAATGTTGCTCCAGCACTAAAGCTCAGTTTATTTCGTCTTCACTGCGGTACGCTCTTTAACATTGGCATTAAATGTGCATATGGTACATGGTGGCGGTGTTATACCAAACTCAAGATCTCTTTATCAATTAAATCAAGTTAAATTTGAATTTACGTACATTAAAAAACAATGTAATTTCGACAGGGCAAACACTTAACGACTGATTTTATGTTGTGCAGCCAACCCCTCACCTGTCGCGTGACCCTCCTCTTCAAACTTCTTGTACAGTTCACGCGAGTACTGCGCGAGTTTCGATTCCGCTATGCCAGCCTTGATTTGACCGACAAGTCCAGCGGCGTGCCATGAGGTGCCGCATGACAGCCTGCGTGCGAGAAGGGAGCAGATTTACCTGAGTGAGTATAACAGAGCAGGGGTAGAAATTAGTTTGAAAATTTACAGGCCGGCCGGACCTGCAGGTAAGGGATTTTACACGCCCGCCAGACAAATTACAGAACCCGGGTCGCTGTTGTGCCCAACTTGACACAAGTGAGCAATACTGCGGTAACTTTTCATCCTCGCTGGCACTTTCCTTCAGCCGTGCATTTCCTACGAGCCCGCCAGGCCTGCTAGTATTAGAAATGTCAGGTCTCAGCCTCAAATAAAGGCATCGGGCCCACGGGCCCCTTATGATTTCGACCCATGCAAAGGGTAGAGGGATCATTGTACGGCCCACCTTTCCAGCCGAGTTTTTTGTTGCCATACAATCTCACTTCATAACCAGGTGCAATGCAAGTGCACTTGAGTCGCGTATTTCTGACTGCTCTAGGTAACCACACACGTGCACCACTTTCGCACACCTTCTGACATAATCCTAAATGTTGAGAGATAAACCGGCGCAAACAAGACGCTCTTTCAAGGTCACCTACTTAAATGCATGTACAACTGTTCTGCCACATAGCTATGTGAGAAACTAGGTGAGATACCTAATGGAGTAGGTTAATAAAAAGATAAAACTTCCTCTTTAAACCAACTCTCATAGCAAAAAAAAAATTAAAAGCAGCATCCTATTTTCAAACTTCGAGTCACAGTTGGAATATTCCTGTATATACTTAAACAATGCAAAAATTAGGCAAATAATGCACGTTAATTCCAACCTCTTTTGCAGAGAAACCGCAAAATAAGTGTGTGCCCAATATTTAGAAAAATGGTTCTGCAGATTTTTCGAGCCTTGACCTACTAATACCATTAAACATATAATATATGTTTAATGGTATTAGTAGGTCAAGGCTATACATGTAGATCTATACATGTATACTTGTATCCTGTATAGATTACAGGGTTCTCCAAGCTCTGAGTAGAAGCTCTGAGATGCAATCTGGGACACTCTGTGTGTAAATTTGAAGCACTGCATGTGGGGTGAAAATAGTTTGTTTTGCATGGGCAAAGCCATCGGAAAATTCAAAATAATTAATGGAATAAAAATACCAAAATGTAGGGGTGAACTTGCTGGTTTGCTCGTTCCAAATCGAGTTCACCTCTCATAAATAAATTTTAAAAAATTTGTCACCATTGACAATGGCAGGAGTGGTCGGTAAGTGTACCAGTCTACTCTACCTCGTGTTAGACTGGGTTACCTGCCCCGTAATAATGGCGTTGGAAATTAATTCACGATTTAATTCACGATTAAGATTTCTTGATGAGCTAGAAAACACTCGGATTTGAAGTATGAAAATGAACATTATTGGGCCAGCTAGCCTACACCAGTTGGTTGGGATTGATTGTCAGTTCAGATGCAAAATATTTAAAGCAAAGGTTATAAACCATAGATTAATTTTGGTACTATAACACGCGTATATAAGATAGCCGAGTCGGTTTATAGTTAGTGTTAGGGTTAGTGATAGGGATAGGGATAGGGTGACTGTTTGTACTTGTGTGTGAGACTGCCGTACCCGTAGCATCGAGACCAACGTGTATTAATTGTTTGAACTCCTTGTGATGACGGCTTTGATATTTAGCGTGCATTTTAGGATGGCGGGGCTCGACGATAGCGGGCCGCCAGGCTATAAGTGCTCTTGGAGAACCTTGATGTATAGATATTATCTATACAGGATATAAATATACATGTATAGATCTATAAATATGTTCCTGCTGATACTACGGCCCACGTAAAACCCTGGATCTCACTAAACCTCATGTAAGTGCATGGATAGGCTGAACCACATCCAGGGTGATAGGCCAGGCTGATCACACACATACATAAATACTACAGCATTTTGTGTCAACCAGTGAAGCAGATAAGGTCTATGTCCCCTTGACCTCTGTTTGACCTCGCTCGTTTAGCTATTTCTGACTAATATATATATATATATAATATATAATATATATAGGGTTAGGGTTAGGGTTAGGGTTAGGATTAGGGTTAGGGTTAGGGTTAGTCAGAAATAGCTAAACGAGCGAGGTCAAACAGAGGTCAGGGGGACATAGACCCTACGAGCACCAGTGAAAGGCAATAAATTGTTAAGGGGAAAAAATAACGTGAATCCAGTCATTTTGTTGACGAAATACCCTGTCTTGACGTCAGTGATTTATGTGTACAATCTCCCTGAAAATTCTGCTCAAAATGAGCAGAATATAATTATTGAGCATACTTTTAATTCAAAATATCGGCAAAATTTTAGCATTCTACTCAAAATACAGAAACTCGCCCACAAAACCAATACGTACTGCTTCCAGTGTTTTAAATTGCTATTCCACCGTAATCTGCAGCAGCTATCACGATAATGATATAACTCTGGATGTCACTACTCATGTGTTATTGCTACACTTGGTCTTGAAATCCAAAGCAGTCTCCCTCTTTGTGATAACACGCATATTCCCTTGATCTAAAGTGTGCATTCCCTCATGCACGTGCGTGCGTGCACGTGTGATATTCTACAACTGGTTCAATGACAGTCGAATTCAACCCGATAGTGGAAGCATCAAGTCATGACTTGTTTCCTATGAACGCCTAACCCACAGGCACTTGAAGCGTTTCAACTGTAAACACACGCCGCCGCCATTGCGCGCACACTGACACATAAATATATAGTGTCAGTGTATATTATGTGTCAGTGTATTATGTCATGTGTCTATATATTTATGTGTCATGTGTATATCTATATACACATATCTGTATGTCTATATTATTGTATGTGTCATGTGTCTATATATTTAGCTACACATGCGACTGTCGAGACAGTAACACTTGAGTGCATTTAAATCTTTTTAGACTGCTATATATATATCATACCCTTTTCAGATGACAACAGGTCAACAGGCGGTAACTCCTGTTATGTTTGACAAAATGTTATAGTTATTTGATAGCTAGTTCGGTAGGTCAAGCCCAACCTGTGGACCTTGCCCATGGACGTTCGAGTGGTCAACCCATAAAGACTTGTATTCTATCTTAATTTCGAGTCTAAAACAAATCGCTCTCAGCATAACTAAGAGTTCTGCATAGTGAGAATTCACACCTACGTGGCTCATAATTAATGATGTTAGACACATAGTTTCTAATGGACTATGTGACACATCAAAAATGACAACACAGTCAGAGGCTAATGAGATGATTAATAGGCACTGCAACGGCACTTACAAAGCACTAATTATTGTTGCAGCCATTGCAACAGCTGCAATACAGCATCCCAAATGTGCTGTTTGATGTTTTTTTAAAGCGTGTCTCCACTGCAATTGACATTATATGCGCTGATGTGATCAATGTTTGTTCTCCAAGTAAGTATGCCTGATAAAGACGGAATGTGTTTGTTTACAAGGTACCGGCGATGTTATCGGTGACCCTGCTAGTGAGCAGGCATTCCCTACTGCAAGTGCACAATCATGAGGTTTAGTTGTTCTCTCGGTAAACACGGGATCAGCTTGTGCTAAGTATGGTAAGTTTCTAATTATAGTAAAAGTAAATCTGCTTTTTATTGACTACGTCACGAATCTCTTGAAAATTAATACGTTGTAAAGCTTATTTTTGTAATTTTTTTTTGGCATCAAAACTCAGTACTAACGTTACTACAGATATATCCTCAAACTCTCCCCTGAGTTTTTCACGGCATTTCTAGTGTAATGATATGTTTTTACGTGCCTATAACAGTTTAAGGTAGCATCACGGTACTGCTGCGTCTATGTCATGTCATTATTTCTAGAAACAAGTGGTTCGTCATAACAGCACAGATGGTGGAGTCTGCACAGCAGGCGCGTGTGTTGTGGTGGCGGTGGTGGCGTGATTGCACTTCTGTTCTGTATCATCGTACAAACGGAGCGATGGAATGATGATTGTGGGGCTATTGGAACAGGAATGGTGGTAGGGCAACAGGCAACTTGAAAGCGTTTCAAACTGTAAACAGCACGCCGCGCCAATGCGCGCACAGCGTGACACATAA